CTGGGGTATATTTGTAGCAATAGCCAAAAATACATTGTATGGGTCAAAATTATTGATTTTTCTTTTATGCCAAAAATCATTAGGATATTAAGTAAAGATCATGTTCCATGAAGATATTTAGTAAATTTCCTACAGTAAATATATCAAAACTTAATGTTTGATTAGTAAATATGCATTGCTAAGAACTTAATTTGGACAACTTAAAAGATGATTTTCTCAATATTCAGATTTTTTGCATGCTCAGATTCCAGATTTTTAAATAGTTATCTCGACCAAATATTGTCCGATCCTAACAAACCATACATCAATGGAAAGCTTATTTATTCAGCTTTCAGATGATGTATAAATCTCAATTTTGAAAAATTGACCCTTATGACTGGTTTTGTGCTCCAGGGTCACATTTTCAATGGACTGTAAAAGCTGTATTTCATGCTTTAACAGAGTTCTTCTTGGAGTTGCTGGAGAACACCGAACGCTCTCTGAACGAGATGTTTCTGCGCACGTACGGGAAGCCCTACTTGCAGAACGCCGAGGTCTTCCAGGGCCTGTTCGCCGAGCTGAAGCGATACTACACAGGCGGCAACGTCAATCTGGAGGAGATGCTGAACGATTTCTGGATGCGTCTGCTGGAGCGCATGTTCCAGCTCCTGAATTCCCAGTACCTCATCACCGAAGACTATCTGGAATGCATCGGCAAGTACATGGAGCAGCTTAAGCCCTTTGGAGACGTTCCCAAGAAGCTGAAGTCTCAGGTTACACGAGCGTTCATCGCCGCCCGCACCTTCGTCCAGGGCCTCATGGTTGGACGGGAAGTGGCTAACAGGGTTTCTAAGGTGAGCTAAAGTGGTGTTCATGAAGTGGTGCTAACTAGCCTGTCAGACTGATTTGTGCTTATGATTTTATGAGGGAAAATGAAACCTGTAGCATCTGAGAGCATGAACTGCATTCAGTGTAAGTGAAGGTAACATGCAGAGTTCATTCATGCATGAGGTTTGAAAATACAATTATATCAGAGCATATGTTTTTAGGGCCCTTTGAAATCGGTTTGACTTTTTTCCCAAATTCCATTTTTTAGTATACATTTTTTTCTATACTAAAAAAATGTCTTCACAGTACTGAATCATAGGAAGGAAAATGGGCTTCTGCATTTATGGCTCTTGTTGGTTTTCGGATTAGCAGCTTCTTCTTCTGATGTGTATTATTGACTCAGTTGAAGGTCACTGCTCTAAATGCACAGTGTTGTGTGTGAGCTCAAATGGAGAAGGTTGTTCAGTGTTTTAATGGCCTGATTTACTCACCCTCATTTTCCAAACGCATGACTTTATTTCATATCTGAAGAACAAAAATGAGATGTTAGGCAGAATGTCTGAGCTGCTCATAACAAAAATGCATGGTAATTAATTTATACTGCAAAGCTACAGGGTTATTATCATTAACTAAAAAAAATAAATAAAAAAAAATTATAATAAAATTAAATAACTAAAACGTAAGAAATCTATAGACATAAAAATAAAAATGACAACAAATTTACTAAATCTTTAAATTAAAATTAAAACCGATAATCTAAAAATAAAATTAAATTCAGAATATACTTCCATTTACTTACTTTTTATTTTTAAGAATTTCTACCCAATCATATATATTTGGGCTTGTCATAACAAGAAAAATTGTGTTCTTGTTAAAAATGCCAATGAAGTTTAAGTTACATTTGATTGTGACCTAAAAATAGTGCAGAATCCGAAATATGTCTTCTTCATTTTATGTCATAACTTTATGTATTTTGCATTTATCAAAGACCTAAAATGTTCTGTTTGTTTCCAGTTTTAAATTACATTTTGAATCCTGGATGTTTGGACCCAATATGTGTGTTTATTTCTTTGCTAACTCAAAATTTGGTTAGAAAGTTGTCTAAATAAAGTTGTTTTTCACTAATGTATTTCACCTTATCAACTGCATTGAGACATTACAGTATGACACTATGATAGTTTGTCTTAAACTGATAAGTGTCATTTTGTAGAACATTTGTTATTATTATTTCCATGCATATGCATCAAATGAACTGCGTGTGTCATCTTCTGTCCGCAGGTCACCATGAGCTCTGCGTGCATCAGCGGCTTCACTAAAATGCTCTACTGCTCGTACTGTCAGGGTTTGTTCACGCTGAAGCCCTGCAACAACTACTGTCTGAATGTGATGAAGGGCTGCCTGGCCAATCAGGCCGATCTGGACCCGGAGTGGAGCAAATACATCGGTAAGAGCCTCTTCATACCTCAAACAAAATGAATGAAGCGCATGTCAGCACCGGAATTGTTGACTTTCTTATAGGGCAGGGGTGATAAATTACATCTTATCGAGATCGTGATAAAATATGTTAATAAAGATGATAGGTTCTGGTCGTTTTTACTCAAATAAACTCAACAAGAGCCAGTCATTGCATGTGTGATATGTGTGAAAGAATGGCGCGGTTTCGTCTGATGCACAAACTCAAACTCACATGACGCTCGCGGTGTTTTTAGCATCTGCGTCTCAATATATGAGGACATGAACACGTGAACTTCATCTCAAGAGCTGCTCTGAGAGTCACTTCAGCAGCTTTACATCATTTAATTTGAGAAAAACTACCGTCATATTATATGCACACAGAAACTCAAAGATCTTCATGACCAAATAAAAGTATATGTTAGGATAAAAAGTGAATACTAAAATGTACTTCTCAAAGTAGAAACAATATTATTATTTTTAAGGAATATTATACAGCCAAGAAATGTTTTCATCCATGTTTTAAACGACACAGTTCTGTTGTGTAGCATCTTATTTGATCAAAAATAAAAATGCAATGATTCATTGTAAATTAATTGCTATATTTCTATTGTATTTAAAATAAAAAATTAAATTGTTAAAAGTTTTATTAATGAATTTAATTAAGACACCATTTTTTATTATAAATTTGTATTAAATCGTAAAACACAGAACCCCCACCC